TTTCTTCACATTATTTTATTCAGTGAAGTCTGAGCTAACATGCAACATGCAGATTATGCCAGGGGACTAGGAAACACATCTGTGTAGAGTCCCAGCAATATAATACCTGGGGATCACAGAATTCTAATACCTGTATCACTGAACAAAATCAGAGGGCTGGCCTTGACATGGGTTCTGATGGGATGGCTGACCTCTAACGCAGGGCCACAACCCTGATGGATCTCATCCCTCTGTGCAGTGAGTTCTCCTGTGCTCGCCATCTGGGCAGTGTTAATGACCCTGGACACAACAACCTATTTCCTTGCTAAAATGTAAGTGTAGGGCCAAGAGGATAGCTTAGCGATTTATACACCTGCCTCGCAAGTGCAAGGACCAGGATTTCACCCCCAGTACCACAATCATTCTAGCCCCAAAAGGCACAGTCGTCAGCTTTCAGCTCCTGGCACATGAGCTGTGGCTCATGAAGCAGAGGCAACTTCTGAGGATAAATTTCCAGGTTTAATTTATTTATCCTACTCAGGCTTTCAGTTCTAGTTAGAGACTGTCAACATATGCTGACAATAACTGCTTAAACTTGGTGGTGCCTCGGTCCTGAGGTATTTCTGCACAAGGATTATTAAGTTTCAAATCCTTTTCTAATGGGTCACACACTTGTCATGACAATAAATACAATTTTGGTAGGAAATTCATATCAATAAACCCTTCCAGAGGTGCTGAATGAGGACCAGTAAGACAATACATCAGTCCTGTTTGTTCCCAACGTGGTGCTGGGAGAGCTCTGTGTGACAGATGAGGGGGGACTCCTTGGAACCTGGGTCACTGGATGACAAGAGGGAGGCAACAATTCTAAGCAAGACACTTTCCTCGCATGCAGCCTGGACGGGTTCACAGCACCCTGGAGAGCGTGCTCTGCTCTCCTACTGGACGATGTGCTGCGGTCAACCAAGCGAAGCAGAAGTGCGCACAAAGGACGAGGGTCCTGCCATGTGCTTTGCTCATTACTTGAAAGCCGACATAAATCCTAATTTAATATTAGGCCTTTCCAGTGCATCCTGAAACTGTGCTTGGCTTGAAATGCATTCATTTTATTACTTTTTCCTTTCCTTTCTGCTTCTACAGGATCTCAGTTTCACCTCAACAATTTCTTCTTGTTACTGAGACTTATCACATATGCTCTCACATATAATTTGTACTAAAAAAGTGATTTCACAGTCTGTGACTTTAGAACCTAAAAGAAATAATTCCAAGTAAATAAGTGCTCTACATGAAGCTGATTCTATAGGTTTCTCAGGCTTCCTGGGCTCACAAAGGTCCTGCTGTGCTGGAACAACCAATGCACACAGGAGAGAAGCCTTGGGAACAGAACGAACGGGTCAGCTTCCCCCACCCTGGGGCCGCCCTGAGCCAGGGTCTGGAGTGAGTCTTCCTCATTAAGCAGGGTTAACCACCAAATGTGAATCATCTCCTTGGCTTGCTTTCTTCTTTAAAATGTTCTGGTGAACAACAGCTTAAATAGAAACCAGACTGGCCTCCTATCATCCCAAATCAGAAGTAGAAACAGGAAACAGGCCCCAGTACATAGAAATTAGGTTGTCAAGACATTCATTGCCATTACGCAGCTTCCAGGCTGTACAAGATAACAGAAATTTTGATTTTATTTTCAAATTAAAAGGAAAAAAAAAACCCCACAGGCCAATCTGAAGCAATGAGCTCTTTTATTCTTGTGCTTAGATGGCAGAAGCTGACAGGAGCACCAAAGTGTGCTTTCTACCACAAAAGTTTTGCAAACTGGAGGACTTGCTGTCTACGCAGACACACCTGCAAGCTTTCCTTTCTTGGAACAGCTGAGTTAGGCAGGTAGAGAGGCTGTTTCTTTGGCATGGGATTTCATGGCCAAAGAACAGTGCAGAATCTGTTTCTCTACAGAACATTCTATAGGAGAAAACAAATAACTGCAAGTCTGTTCACTAGTTTATTATTTTAAATGTGCTGCTGATTCTAAGGGAAAACTTTGAGCTGTGTAATCTCAGGTGTGGAAAGTTGAGACTTGGAACTTGGCATTAGTGTGAATCCATGATGTGACTTTACCAGCTGTAGAAACTTAGCCTTGGGCCCTATCCATTCTCCATTGCTTCAGGTGTAGCATGGGGATGATAATCAGACATAAAGGAAAAGACTGTTTTGAAGATTGAAGGTGAAATAAACTTCCTCCTATAGTTACAGTGAATGACAGTGATTACCAAGTTTTGTTGGCCAGAATGGTGAAACTAGTAAATTCAAGTGTTATTCCACACCAGTGGCTTAGCATTAGGTTATTATCATTAGATGGTAAAGGAAGTGACAGGTGTGAAGGTAAGGAGGACAATTCCCGCTTGCTGTGCCCTGCAGACACTAGGCAGTCACCATGCTGTGCTAAGAGATGACCTGTAAAGGAGCCCTCACCTCTGACTTTTCAGCTGACACTGGATATAGGGCCACATGAGGAGCACACTTGATACATGACTCATCAAGATGAGGCCCCTCTTAAAATAAGCAACGACTTAAGTCAGAGCTTTAGTGAAATCCTTTGATGTCTGTTGGCTCTGGCTTTCCCCAAGGCCAGCAGATAGGGAGGCTGGCAAGCAGAGCGGGGTCACCTAGTGACACACAGACAAGCACAGCAGCAGAGGGGCAGTGGGACTGAAACTCTATCCCAGGGCCAGGAGACTTCAATATAGGTTGCTGATACCTTGCACCCCTGAAGACAGTCGGGAGTGACAAGGCTTCCACAGGGTCCCTAGAGCCTGGGCTTCTGCATCACGCTAAAGGTAGAGCTAGGCCCCTCCTGGCTGCACACTCCAACTGTGTAGCAGGCTGCAAAGAATGCATTTGCAATAGAAATATTTCTGTGTTATTTTCCCCTTAAAGGTGAGTTTAGCTATGAAATAAGACACAGCAGCAACTCTGAGGGTCTCACCCTCGGCCTCAGCCTCGCAGGCCCATCTCTTGGACAGGACTCACTTTGCAGCCCTCTTCTCTTTAGACATTGGCATGTGGCTGACCAGGACACTGGAAGATTCCAGCTGTCCTTTACACATGCTGGGCTCTTCCCTTAGCACACTATTCAGAGAGCAGACAACACTTCACAAAGGGTAAAAACAGAATCTAAGTTTCTTTTCCTCAAAGAACTAGCTTCTGGTTCAGGTATGTGTGGTCCCTTTCTTTGTTGACTATACAGTCTCCCTTTTGGCTCCTTAAGCTCTTTCTCTAGGGAAAGGTGACTCGGGCAGTCCTCAGGCAGTTACACCAGGCCTGTGCCCCTGTCATCTATTGGGTGCCATCACCCACAGGGTTCTCTGCTCCACATCTCTCCCCACTAAGGTAATATAATTGAAACCCCTAGTGCTTCTTTTTGGTCTTAGGAACACAAAGCAACAAACATACTTTAAATAAGAGAGAGAAAAAAAAAAAAAAAACAAAGGCAAGAGGAAAACCAGTCCCACACTACTTGCTGAGTGAGGTGTGCTCTGTTTAAGAGACAGGAACATGGGGAAAGAGCACCTACCCCTCCCAGCAAGTACTGAGCAATACTTTAACATCTTTCTGAGCATCCTCAAATGGATAGCAGTTAGTGATAGGAGCCCAGAACGTGTAACATAAACCTTACAGCCTGTGTCACAGTACAGCTTAAATGGTCAAAACCACAAATTTTATTGTGTAAATAATTTCTATAAAAGCAGAAGGTTTCAGAAAGAGACAGAACTTTTGAGTAAGTCAGCAGAAATGGGTTATTAAAAAAAATGAAAAATACTCAGAAGCCCAATTCCACCTATCTCATCTGGCCACATGGGGCCAGGTGCCCTGGGTATGACGGGTGAGCTGTCTCTCCCACAGCTGTTCTAAGACTTGGGGTGCTAGATGGTGCTCAGATAGGAGAGCAGGCATACCTCATGCAGGGAACCAGAAGACTTAACGCCAGTGCAGTCAGGCATGGCACAGAAATTGCAACTGACTGCTGTAAAGCACAGTAAATCTCATCATATGTGTCTTGCCATGCAGTTGGTGGAAAAGGTGAATAAAGAGTGTCCACCAGAAGGAAGCTGATACCGCATTGGTCCAGTGCTGTTTACTGACTGGTCATGCCGCACCTGACCTTGCAAATGTATGGACACTTTGCCTACAGTGCCTGGCCATCCAAGAACTCGGCAGGTATTTTTCTGAATGAATGGTGAGTGTATAATCACTCTCACTTGAGTCTGCATAGTTCTGCCTTGTAAGATTCACATTTTGGTGCCAACGTCATGAATACTGGCTAATGCACTTGGCTGAAGTGGGGATTTGCTAACTGGGGGTTGCTTCTACACTGATGTCGACAGATGTGAATTCTTGGGCATCCATGCTCGGGCACGGTATCCCAGGGGCAGTGACTCTGTGGGCTCCCACTGATGGCAACACATTCTTTCAAGACCTAGAGTCACTCATGGAGCTCTGACCCTTACAGACAAAGTATTCTCTATGAAGTCACTGAATACAAAATAATAGCTTGGAAAATAGCCCAAAGCCCTCTCATAGGTTATTCACTTCTTGTTACTACAGATATGGAAACCACTGGGTCACCATAGCCACCAAAATATCAATATATAAATGCCTTCTTCTGTTATGGACCAAAACTGAGAGTGACAGAATACTCCACTGATGGGCACTTTATAAGTGGCCCAGCCAATGACAACATTGTCTATAAAATAAACAATGGCACCTGTTTCAAAGAGCCAAAAATGTCACCTAGCAACAAGCACTACTGAAAGATGGTTTTAAAAGGAGTTTTTGATTTCAACAATATCTTCAAATTAATGGGAAAATTCTTTCATGCTTTTTGTTCCTTGATTTTAAAAAAAGCAAATAGGAAATACAATCCTGTATTTTGTTCAGAATGGTATGTTATTCTTCAAACACAAGGCAAAGCTTAGAACTTTACTATTAAGGAGAGCAATTAGGGTTGGCATGCAGACCAAAGGTCTCACCATCAAAGCCGTCTTCTTCTGACCCGAGTTCATCATCAGAGCAGATGTTAAGGACATTGACCAGCATCTCAGTCACTGCAGGAACAAAGGAAGAGAGAGAAGAGCATGTGTTACGCCACTGCCCTCAGTTCCACCGAGTGCTGTGGCTGGGCCAGCCCAGGAACCTTGCTGGCCAGCCAGGTTCACAGAGGGGTCCTACCCTGCTGGCACACAGCAGAGGAGGCATTCCTGAAAGAACTGCAGCACCACAGATAACCAGCTGGCTCTGAGACACTAAGGACTTCTTGTTTACCACATATTATCTCACACTTAGAAAAATAAAGGCTGAAATTTATTAGCTCTTGGTCAATAGGAAGTGGACAACCTGAACAGACAAATGTAAATATCCTAAAGATCTTTCAGAGAGAAGATAGTTATCGCTCAGTGTTTAGTTATTTGCACAATGCTGTTGCATGATCCAGATTAGATTATAAACTTCTGTTCAGCAGGGATCAAGTAAATGTCAGATTTTGATTTCAAATTTTTATATTTCCCAGATAACCCTGCACAGTGATAGTCATGTCATTTTATATTCAAATAAAAATCATGGATTGATGAACTAGTATATTTGAAGTCATTTTGAGGATATACAGTGATCTGAAAAATGAATGTGCTGATAGAAATATTGTTAACCTTGGTTTTTAGAAAGGCTCCAAATATGTTAGATATATTTTAGTCAGAAATGTAGCTAAGCAAACGGATTCAAGTAGGCTTATGTAGCTTTATACACAGCTTGAGTTTTAACGTGAGAAAGCAGTTTTGCTTATCCATTAATTCTCTGAAAATGATACTCAATTCAGCAGGGTATTAAAAAATATTTTCTTGAATTGAAGATGTATGATGAACTGAAAAACTTTAGTGGGATCAACATTAATCCAGGTTTAGATTAATTGTCTAAACTGAATCATGTTTGCCAATGTATTATTTTATAATAGATGCTCAAATTTTGAGTAACTCATTGGAAAACACCTAACTCAAGTATGTCCCAGATGCCCCAGCTTGGCCACGGTCCCATTTTGATTTCAGGAGGAATCAGTTGTTGGTTCCACCGAGTGCCGTGGCTGGGCCAGCCCAGGAAGTGGCTGGGGACAACTGGGAGCTCCTGGGGCAGATCTTGGCCTTTCAGGGAGGACTTCAAAGGAACAGCTCAGCACTGGTTCTGTTTAATCACTCTCAAACTTTTACTGAAACAAAAAGCTCAGATACTATAAGAGCTGAACGAAGGAGACAGAAGAAGGCAGAAAAGAAAAGCCTGGTTCTCAAAAACTGGCACTGTTAGGAACTGAATCCAGGGCCTTCACACCGGGCTACATCCCTAGGAGCCTCTTCCTTTTCTGATCCAGAGTCTCACTAAATTTAAGTTACCCAGACTGGGCTTGAGCTTGAGATCATCCTGTGTCAGCCTCCCACAGTGCTGGCATGACAGGCATGCACCAGCATCTGTGGAGACAGCTTTGTAGATGTTTTCTATCCCTGCCATAGTGATCCCCACTGTCTTTTTATGAGGTACTTTTTGTTGCTTTTCATATTTTCAAAATATAGTAACAATTAACATTATGGTACAGTGATTACTATTTTGTACCAGAAATATAACAAAAATGTAATTTAACAGGTAATTTGTAAAATAAAATATGACTTTGGAATTACAGTACAAAGGAGTAAGGAAAAGAGGTAGACATTATTGCTTAAGATCAGGTACGCTGTCATATTTTTGGTCTTACTGTTCTTATAGGACTGAAAACATCCACCTGAACTTGCCTCTTGTCCCCAGGCCTCTCCTGTGTCCTCCAATCTTACACTCATGGTTCCTCTTGTGTCACAGTGTCACTGATGAGACCCTGTGCCATGTCTGGGGTCTCAGAGGGCTCAGCTTTCCCTCCCAGCCAGCTGCTGAGGACTTTACAACATACCTTTCTCCCCAACAAATGGCAGGGACCAGGTGAAGACATCCATGAAGTTGGGGAGCCAGTATGGGTGTGGGGAGCAGTTGAACTGCCTGATGTTCATGACGTTGTTCTCGTACTTCAACACCGCGGCTGGAACAGTGAGTGGAAAAGACGAACAGAGGGCAGGTTAGATTCAAGCACCTATTTCCACCACTACACATGGCTTTTGTTGATACAGAAAATTCTACTGTCTCATACTTTAGTTTCCAAACACTAAAGCAAATACCTTAAGCAGTCCTGATTGCTTACACTATATCTGTGTAAGCTTCATTAAGTGAGATATGTTGTTGTACAATATACGAACAGTAAATTTGGTAAATATTTATATAAAGCACTTAATCAAGTGTCTTTTAGGAATGGAATGGGACTCCTTTTGCATCTAGGAGAAGCTTCTAGTTTTATTTAATACCTGATGACAGAAATAAAGGTGGTATAGCTAAGTTAGACATAATTTAAGAATCTTCTCCAATATTTGAACCGAATTTATCTGTTTTCAAAAACACACCCTTTCTTCTAATAGAATTCACAATAGCTGTACAAAATAGCTGAAGTTAGGCTGTTTTCTTGACTTAATAAAATGATTGGATTATTATCCACATAGAATAGTATGCTTAGACTCTTCCTTTAACTTCTGAAAAAGATGCTTTTACAGGACAACTCGTTCTGGGGACAGGAGATATTAAAATTGGGGGACACTGACACCTTAAGTTTAAACTTGCATCACTGTTCCCTGGCCCTAGTTCTGCTTTCTGGACAGTTACAAAACAAGTACACTTCCGTTTCTAAGTGACAGCCTGTTGATATGAAAGGGATATTTCCTGTTACCTTCCTGAGTACTGGCAATTCACTTCATGATTCTACCTCAGCACACGAGTTAAGCTACTAACATGCAGCTCCTGTGTGGCACCAAATGAACTGCTCTTGGTTATGTTGGGGGCTGAAGATACACAGAAAAGGAGCCATTTCACGACGTGTTTATTTTAAGCTGACTTTCACATAAGGATTTGGTGTAGCATTGATTACACATACACAACAAAGACAGGTAAAAAATCTGTTCATTAAAAACTGACTGGGTATTTATTGCCCTGGAGCTTTTCCATCAATACAGAGCCCTTTGGATGGAAATCTTTAACATCACAATGTTTTCCAATCGTGCTCACTGTCCCACCCCATTTCCTGGATGTTTGAATGCCACAGCCTTCCTGTGCCTCCATGCAGCCCCACACATCTCCCCTCCCACATGCTTTCCCTGATTTGCCCCAGAGAGCCAGAAATTCTGCTCCTCCCCAGAACTTCTTTCCATCATGCTCTTACCGTTTAACCTTCATTATGGTTATTCTGTGTAAATGCCTGTGCCTGAGTGCCTTAGGGATAAGTCCCTTCAACTCATTTATCCTTCTTGGTATCTCACACATCACCATAATCAGAGTGGATGCTCAGAAGGGAGAGACGAATGTGGGTATTTTCCCCGTGGACCTCTGTGCCGAGTAAGCTGTGCCTCACCCCTTTGCCTTCTTTCACCTGTGCTTCCCTCACACTCTACTTCATGCTGTGGCCCAGTGTTAAGAGAGTCCTGATGACTCTGCTGGTCCATGCAGAGTGTGAGAAACAGCTACAGTGGTCAGTGAGCTGCCTGCCACCTACAACCTATTGCAGTCTGCACATGCCGATGCAGCCTGGAGCTTACAGATAAATGGACTTTGTCCTGGTGCTAACCCTGCGTGGACACCTTGATCCTGGGAACATAAACTCATAGAGTAGGGATGAGATGTGCAGACAGTGCAGTGCAGTTGACACAGACACGAGAGGAACCATTCTCCTCTTCTTATGGATTACTAGGTCGTGCACAGACTTCTGGAAACTGTACTATTTTACATTATTTTATCAATCATTTTTTATGACACTGGGCTCAGGGACACATCACCATGGTATTAAAAACATGGAAAGTGAAAAATAGCCATGGAAAGTTATCATTTTAGCATTTCTGAAGTTTGAGACATGAGAGACAAAGTATTTCTAGTGCCTGACAGTAGTACCCTGACCACCAGTTCTGTACAAAAGGTCTTTACCATTCTGAACACTGCATATTTACAGTAGGCATAGATACCTATATTTTAAAAACAATCTTTTAAGACTGTCTCAATTACTTTTCACTCACTGCTGGGACAAAATTCCCAACACCCAAAATTAAGGGAGGAAAGGCTTATTTAGCTCACAGTTTGTGGAGGTTTCAAGATATACTCAACTGTCTTGCAGGCAGAGGGGCACATGGCAGAGAGCAGCAGTTCATGGCAGCAGAAAACAGTGAAGAGCAAAGGGAAGGGCAGCAGCTGCGGCTCCTAGCCAGCCTCTCTCCTCTCCTTATATTACAAACAAGCTACCCCGGGGTTGGTGGTATAGAACTCACACAAAGTCCATGCCCTTCTCTTGCACAAGATAAAGATGTATATCTGCTGGGTCACTTAATTAAACTTCTAAACTTCTCAAGTCGACACAATGTATCAACTAGCATAATCCACTCTTTGTCAACTTGGCAACCAGACATTTCCTTAAACCACTCTCCATGTACATAGACATGCTTATTAACATTTTGCAACTTGAACATTGTATCACATTAGAACCGTGACATTTTTCCCCCTATACAAGTGAAAAGTTAAACACTTCAAAATTTAATGGCACAAGGAAAATATTACCATTCCAAAAGGTACAAGTAGCAGGACACAAAGCACTGGGACTAAAGCAAGTCCAAAATCCAGCAGGTCAAACATGAAGTCCTATAATTCCAAGTGAAACATCTGAAGCAATCTGTAATAAGTTGTGAACACCAAAAGCATTACACGGCTCCACCTCTACTGCACTTCTGCAGGTGGCTACCATGCCTTTTCTCTGGGGCTGGTTTTGCTTCCTCCTTATAGCTTTTCTCAGGCAATCCATGTTCCTGGCTTTTCCAAACTTCTGGGGTTTCCACTGAATAGCTTCTCACTCACAGTTTTACACACTGCCCTCTCAGGGGCATATGACCTGACCTTCTAGGCCTTCTAAAAATCTAGATGGATGCCTTCTTAACCTCAGAACTCCTGCATTCTGAATGCACCTAAAACCAATGCCACGTGGATGATGCCAAGGTCTGTTGCCAGCTGGAGCAGTAGCCAGGCTTCCTTATCTCCTGGTTGTAGGGGCTGAGTGCCTGGATCGCTACCAGCATTCTGGTCTTCTGAGCTCAAACCAGAATTTTCCATACAGAAGAGCTGAAGACATTCAGGTCTTTGCTAGTAGGCAACATCTCCAAAGCCTTTCCTATCTCGTCCTATAAGCCATTCCCAAAACCTCTTGAACAACATGGTCAAGTAGTCACGGCAATGACCCCTCTTCTCTGGGTCTAAGTTACCTTTTTGAAGGGTAGCATCTGCTCTAATTTTCCCCCACTTTTTCTCAACATTTCGTCAACAGAGTAGCTAGGGGAAAAGGAAAACAGTTGGCTCCACTGTCCATGTCTTTCCCACTGTCAATTTGGCGAAACTTACCTAGAAAATACTTGAAAACAAGAAAAACGGCACTGGTACTGAAAATATACAGACTTCTTTCTCTTGTCATTAATCCCTATATGTTTCAGTATAACTATTTTCATAGCATCTGCATTGTTTTGGGTATTTGTCAGGATTTAATCCTAAAATTCCTCCCAAAATTTTCATGTGTATGGAAAGTGACTGGGTCATAGGGTGCCACGTTCACCTATGGAGTCATGACCTATGGGTGCATGTCTCAGTGTTGTTAGCAGGCGGGAACCAGATAAAGGTGATCACTGAGGCCATGGCCTGGAAGGCTCATTTGTGTCCCTGACCTCTCCCCTATCTTTCCTGGCCACCATGCACCAAGGAGCATTTTTCTGCTTAGTTCCATCTACCATGTCCTTCTGCCTTAGAACTAGTCAACCATGGACTGACTCTTCAGAAACTGTAAGCCATTCTACATTTTTTAAAAATTCATTTATTTGAAATGTGACAATATTTTAACCTTGCATTACTGTATTTCCTTCTTGATTACTGAAGTGGCTGTTGTGATAGAATTGTTTCATGTTTTATTGGACCAAATGCAAATTAAAGAATTACTAAGATGTAATAAAAAAAAAAGGAGAAAGATCTCCTTAATGCATGAAGGAAATGAGGGAAAGAGAAGTGAAATATATAATAAAACACATATTTTCAAAATGATAAAAAGAAAAAAAACTATACGCCAAAATAAACCACTGCTCCTTTATATTGTGGCTATTTTGTCCAAGCATCAGGACAGTGATTAATATAGTGCTAACAGTGGGCTGGATAACTTGAAGTGCAAAAGAGAATACTGGATTGTGGTATACACAAGAGTCTTAGAACCTCTTCCTAGTGGCTACCAAGGTAGAAGTGTGTTATAATTAACAGTACTGTGGAGGACAGGGAGAGGTTCTCCATATCCCTTCATCATCAAAAGCAATCTGAGATGCAGGGGTGCTCACCCTTGTGTTACCACAGAGGAGCTATAGGGCAGAAATAAACATGCCTGCTCAAGACCACCTAATCAGTACTGGCAGGTCTTGCCCTGTTCTAACTCAGCTTTTCTGGACACTAAATCCATGTCCTCTGGAGTAGTCTCTAGTGTCTTCATAAATTATACAAGTATGAACCCCTGACCTAGCCGGTGTACTGATTTAACCTGGATAGTGGCATTCATGATTAAAGAGGCTTTAGCTTTCCCTTGAATCCATGGGATGCGAATTCACAGAAGAAGGCAGGATTTGTCCACAGGTTAAGTGACAGCTCTGTTCTGCTGCTGGTGAGATAAAAGTATGTATTCATTGAGCACTGCATCAACACAGTTTACTTGACTACCTACTATTAATAAAGAAACACTGCTTTTTATTAGCAACATAAATAATGATTTTAACTAGAGCTGCATTTACTGTACACCTGCTATATGCCATATATTATGTTTGGCTCTGCACGAATTCCATCATCAGTCTCAGAACATTTCTCAGAACTGGCTCTTAGGTTTGTGTACTTTGAAAATAAGCAAGCAGAGAAGTTATTTGCCAAAGTCCCACTCGGAAAGTA